CTTCTCCCCTTTGTCTCATGCATGTATGGGCGTGTGTGAGTTCTTCTGAGTGAGAGTGGCAAGCAAATTGTCAGACAACCAAGTTCATAACAGTTGGTATAGGAGCGGAGATTGGACTTGGAGCCCAGAGGGTTGAGCGCAACAGGGGCACCTTCTTCATTTGGCTCTAACTGGCAAGAAGGTCCATGGCGGTCCTTCATCTCCAGTGACTACCCAGCAGGGAAGAAGGAATACAAGCGGTGATTGCAGGACTATCAGTTTGCGATTGATCAGGCACCCTGAGCCTGTCTGTGTGCCTGACAGGAAGTGGCGAGAATAGGGTTATTTCGCCATCCACCCTTCTGACCTCAGTTGATGACTGGGTCTAGGGTGGCGAAATTTACCCTAACCCAGTGATTACTGGGTGGTGGCTTCAATCCCAGCATAGCGTTGAGGGAGGATTGATCGCAGGATCACCTCCTGCTAAATTAACCCTACCCAGGGCTAAATTTAGCACCAACGACTTATACCTGCAGTGGCGAGAAATCTTCAGGAGAGTTTTCTCTCGCCACTGATCCAGATTCAGTGAATCTGAGGGTGTGCGGTGAATCGCCACATCATACTGGAGCAGATCAACAAGTGTCAGGAGATTCTATGCGTGGGAAGCTCTGGAAGACTGTCTGCAAGTACTGGCGAGACCAGGGTTGGGCAGCCATAGCCAAAGCTTCATCATCCACTGAGGGTTATCTTTCAAGTGAGTGCGTTCCATATGAACCCCTGACTAGCGATTAGTATAGCATCAATAGAAGCATGATTAATGGTCTATCTGTCAGTAGTGCAACAATCGTGAAATTGTCAGACTGAAAGACAGCCATATCCATCTTCCTCCTCCGTACCCTGACTCATATCTCTTCATCTATTGACCTGTAGTGACTCCAAATTGTTCTGGGACTGCCTGACAGTATTGCGCTGCATCCTGTATGATTATTCTCTGAATTCTGTGCTGGAAAGGTAGTGATACTGTGGATTTGAGTTTTGCGCAGAGTCTATTTATAGTCTAGGCTACCTAGGGTCAGTCATAACTCAAAATCTAGCCGTCAGAATTCAAGTTTGTCAGTCTGGGGTGAATCGCAATTCTATTTTTAGCAACCTTGCTAAAGCGCTAGTCCAGAAACCCTGTATTTGGGTCATTACAGTGCATTCCTGAAATTCGCCATATCTGGGGTAATTTCTGTTGATGTCAACACTGGCGAAATTTGAGTTTAGGGCTGTCAGGGAGTAGTGTACTAAATCGCTACTACCTGTGATTGTGTTTCGGTCAATTCTTCCCTGTTCCTTCACTACTACTAATTTTTACTGCTTTCTGATGGGCTCTGGAATGCTAGTGACCCCTGGAATGTTGTAGAACTGCATCTTGCGATTCCAGTGAAAGTTCAACGTCAGGTATAGGAAATTATTAGTGAATGATTTTACTTGACATCCTATCAGCCTCGTTGCTGACCCCAGTGGTCCTATTCCAACCCTAACTGTTTGTGCCCACTAACCCACATTGCTCTGTGAATTGACAGTGCAGCGAAATTTGAGTGTCTGTGTGTACTGTAAATCGCTGCACCTCCTGCTGTTTTACTTGATTATTTTGTGTTCAGTGAGGGAAAATGTCTGAGACCGCTGACACAGGTGCAGGGAATGTGGAAGTGGTGGTTAAGGCTGAAGAACAGCCTTCATCCTCAACTCCTCCTCCCCCTCCCCTGACCCCTGCGCAGCGGCGCAAGAGAGAGATTCAGGAAAAACTGCGAGAGCAACAGGCGCTGCTCGCAGAAGCTGAGAGACAAGAGGCTGCAGAGCTGGAAACTGCAACAGATGCTTCCAGAAAAGAGCATCTGCTGCAGCAGGCCCAGAAGACTGTTGCAGATACTAG